TCAAGTGAACTTTAACTTGTTTTTTTTCCGGATATTCGGGTACCCGTTCGGTTCTCGGTTCGGTTTCGGTTCGTTTTTTTGGGTATAAAAATATAGGAACCATTCGGATATTTAAGAATTTTGGTCCAGTTTCGGTTTTGGGTATTTCGGTTCGGTTCCGGTTCGATTTTTCGGTTTCGTTTTTTTTTGTCCAGGGCTAGTCTCTAGGTGGGTATCATCATACTTCGAGGGACGCTTAAGGTAATACAAATGAAGATTCCAGCTCGAGATTCTTCTGGATCACCCACCCTTATGGATAAGGGACATCTCGGGAATCCAAATGAAGATGCTAGTTCAGTATCATCGACCAACCTGGGGGAACACCTTCCATGTCGCCTTCATCACCACTTGCTCTATAAATGTTGTCACCTGCTTGGAAACACATGTTGTCATGCTATAATAAGATTACAACAACAGTCCAAAAAAATCCACATATTAAAAAAAAAATAACTCATACTGGGAAAACCTTCCTTCACGGTGTCTAGATGGCAGGTTGGATATGAAAAGGGACGTCGCCACCTTTTAGGGCACCAGAGTATAGTGCTGCTGAAAGCAAATCCGGACATATCTACATGGAACCTACTTACGTAGTCTTTTGCTCTTCTCAATAGTGTGCCATCCAATTACTTGACTTCCGTTGCATATCAAAACTGAATACAATTATCACCATTCCGCAAAGTAAACAATTCCATCGAGCTTATACAACTCAATATGTTCCAAAGCAGTGTTCCTATGGTGAACTCCCTTGTCCTTTAAACTCGTCATATTCCTTTTGCAAACCAGATGTCTATACATCACTCCCGTCTTTCTCAAAATCTTCTGTCTCAAACGACGCCGCGGTAAGTGCAAGATGACAACACAATATAGCAATGCAGAAGATAAATCAAGAGACAAAATAGATACAAGCAAACACTATGCTTTATTAGAAATCATCTTTAAACAATCTATTATAAGACTTGCTTATCAGTTTACACAGCCTGTTAACACCATAACAGTTGCTACTGAAAGATTCTTAATCTACCCAAACTTGTCTCTCCATCGTCGTATGCTTCATCATCTGTTTCAGCAAGACCCAAGAACACCCTGATGGATTTTCACCCTTCCTTTATAATAATAGCCCCAGTGTCTTATGGAATACACACGACTCCATAGCTCTTTTATAGTGATATCCACGTTCTTGAAACCCTTGTCTCCAAGGCAACATGGATATATGGACAACTTCCATATTAGTAAGTACACTTTCCTTTTCTTGGATTTGTACTTATTCCTCAAAACATTAACTTGCTCTCCAAGTTATCTCTTGCCTTTTCTCCACGGTATAAACTTGCTCCTCAAGTTTATCCTAAGCCAGCTCAGCATCTTGCATCCACATGGTCTCTACCACTCTACATGCCTCCTGGTTCACTCTCTTACACATGCTGCATCAGCAACTACTTCAACGACTATGTCAAGACATAAAGCTCTAGTTTATCATTCTCCATCTCAGCATTTCTTGCATCCACATGGTAATCCACCACTCAACATGCCTTATGTAGTAACGACTGATGCTGTTCGTCGCCTAGTTAGTCACGGAAGACCATTGACATCTACAAGCTCCACTTGCATCTTCAATTCCCCTCTTTTTAACTTTGTGTGCCAATCAAGCACAATACTCTTCTGGTTCAACAACCACGTTTCCTCATCTAGAAACTTCCACACTCGATATGCCATTCTCCCCCACGAAACTTTCACTATTTTCATCTTCATACAGAGATATGCTCTTCTCCCCCACGAGATATGCACCATCTACATCAGGACGTCCATCATGATGCTCTTCTCCCCCACAAGATATGCACTCCTTGGACCAGAACGTCATCACTTCTCCCCCTGCTTGATTGTATACTAAGCTAAAACATAGATGCTTAGATGTCAAGCCTTATTTTACAGACACACCGTCTGCTCCTTCATGTGTACCGCATCAGCCTCTAACGGATCCTTTGAACTACTTCTCGAACAACTCATTGCCTTATCTTGGCTCTTTCGACTTGGACTTCTTCCCCTCTGCTGTGACCACCATAGGATCCTCCCACACATTCGTCACAGCTATCCACGCGCCCTCATTGATTCCTCGAACCAACAACTTCATATGCGCCTTCTCATGAACAAACTGGCCATCAACCAACATGATTGTCTTCTGCAAACAACCGTGTACATCTTCACCTTCAGGATCACACCAGTATCTTAGGTGACCCGCTCTAATACCAACTGTAAGTGCAAGATGACGCTACAATATAGTAATGTAAAAGATAAATCAAGAGACAAAATAGATACAAGCAAATACTATGTTTTATTAGAAATCATCTTTAAACAATCTATTACAAGACTTGCTTATTAGTTTTACACAGTCTGCTAACACTCTAAGAGCTGCTACTGAAAGATTCCTAATCTACCTAAACTTGTCTCTCCATCGTCGTATGCTTTAACATCTGCTTCCGCACGACCCAAGAACATCCTAAGGGATTTTCACCCTTCCTCTATAATAATATCCCCAGTGTCTTATGGAATACACACGACTCCATAGTTCTTTTATAGTGATCTCCACGTTCCTGAAACCCTAGTCTCCAAGGCAACATGGATATATGGACAACTTCTATATTAATAAGTACACTTTCATTTTCTTGGATTTGTACTTATTCCTCAAGGCATAAACTTGCTCTCCAAGTTTATCTCTTGCCTTTTCTCCACGGTATAAACTTGCTCCTCAAGTTTATCCCATGCCAGCTTAGCATCTTGCATCCACATGGTCTCTACCATTCCACATGCCTGCTGGTTCACTCTCTGACACACGCTGCATCAGCAACTACTTCAACGACTATGTCAAGGCATAAAGCTCTAGTTTATCAATCTCCATCTCAGCATCTCTTGCATCCCCATGATAATTCACTACTCCACATGCCTTACATGGTAACGACTAATGCCTCTAGCATCAGTGATTTCATTGCTTAGTTAGTCACAGAAGACCATTCACATCTACAAATTTCACTTGCATTTTCAGCCGCATTCCCCTCCACCACTATCCACAGGCACATCACATGCGGTTCCACATATTGGGGGTTGGGTCGATTTTGAAAAAAAAATTGAATTCAATTTTGTAATTCTTATTCAAATTTTCCAAAAGCTATCTATATTATTTATGATCACTGTGGATTCGTATCGATTTTATAAAAATGTGTAAAAATTATTTTAATTCTAAACTCATTCAAATTTAGTTAAGATCTGGAATATGCCTAAAACTGAAATAAACAAATAAAAAATTAATGTTTATTTAATTTGGGTTTCATTATGTATCCAAAACTACTTAGAAATATGCATAACCAAATATTAAAAATCGAATATTTAATGATTTAATTTGAGTGATAATATTATTATATTTATTTAATTTGTTCTTTATAGATTTTCTGGGTTTATGGAGATCCTAGGATATTTTTTTCGGTTCAGCTAATATCTTATATCAAAGTATTGTACTATTAATCTGTTTGGATATTTTTATTGATCAAATTAGATTTGGATTTGAGTTTAGTTGCAAACGTCTAGACACAAGGACAAAGCCACTTAAGACACTATGGGAGCCTGTGCACCCTTAAAATTTATTTATCTTGTAATTTTAATGTAAAAATACATAACAATTCACAACCCAAGTTCAAATCTCCTTTTTGACTATTTCTATTTTATCATTAGTAGTGTACCCATTGAATATATATATCCTGGCTTCGCCCCTGTCTAAACATATTGTAGATCTCTTAGTTCAGCAATTCTGGTGAAGAAGTAATAGAAAGAGAACATAAAACAGTGGAAAATGATGAATATAAAACTAAATCATTATTATCTTGAATTGCAACGAAGTGGTGTAGAATGGAAAAATTAATAATCATATTTACCAACGATTGAGTCCTAGCATACTTTGAGACCATTGTGTCTCATCTTCTCAAAGTATAGCAAGTCATCAAAAAGTAATCCAATCATCATTAAACAATATTTTTTGGATACTCTGCCCCTAAGACCATCTCCAGCAATAGATATGTTAAAATTCTAAATTAAATTTTGAATTGAAATAATCAAATTATAATTTTAAATATTTATTTAGTTTTAATCTCTTCAATGGTAGAATTAATTAAAGGTTCTAAGTATCAAAATTTTGATTTTTTTTTTCTTTTAAAATTCTATCATCTTAAAAAGTGACATCTAACCATTTCTATTTATTTATTCTCTTTTTAATTTAACTTTGAACAAATAAATATTTAAAACCATGAGATAGAATCCTCATGGATACTCCTTTAGAGGTCGTCTAACAATCCATGAGCTATTGCACCAAAGTCCAACAAATGAATCGAATCTCTTCTCCGGCCAATAGATTGTTAAACGAATATTGGTGCTGATTAGTTAAACCGACGATATGGCCCATATTCTGGTTCCCACCACCAGGACTAGACTAATTCCAAGAACCACATCGATCTGGCTCGGTTTAGTCTACATGGAGTTGTTTCCTTTGCAAGAGAACAACAAATATGGTTTTCTCATCGAATTATGGATAAAGTTGGAAGTCTCAAAATTGCTATGTCATATACGAAAAATGTCGACCAGTCAACCGGGTTATCGATCATGCACGAAGTTAAGTTTTATATTTACTCTTTTAATAGTTTAGATATATCTCGTCCTTACTCTTTATAATCTCTAGTGTGAATTTGTAAATTTATCTTGTTTTCCTTTTAAAAAAAACATGCTTAGTTCAAAATAACATTTTTATATTTGAGGGCAGACCCTGCAAGCCTAAGCAGTTCCAAGTACCATTACCACCACCTTACCTCTCCCATTCACATATCTTGCTTCTTAATTTTCATTCCACCATCTCTATCCTCTCTTCCCTCTCTCTATTTCTCTCTAAAAAAAAAAACAAGCAGGAAAACAAGAAACAAAAGTGAAAGATGCAAGAACTTCCAGATTGCTTGTACGAGGGAAAGCAACCAACCTTAGTCACTCCATCTTCTCCCACACTAAATCACTCTCTCTACCTTTCCAACCTCGACGACCATCATTTTCTCAGATTCTCTATCAAGTACCTCTACCTTTTCCAAAAATCTCTCTCCGCTCTAACCCTCAAAGATTCTTTATCTAGGGTTCTAGTCGATTACTACCCGTTAGCTGGTCGGATCAAGCTCTCCGATGACGAGACCAAGCTCAAGGTTGACTGTAGTGGGGAGGGAGCAATTTTTGCCGAAGCTTCCATGGATATAACTTGTCAAGAGTTTCTTCAGATGTCACGCAAACCAAACAACTCTTGGAGGAAGCTCTTGTTTAAGGTTGAAACTCGAGGTTTCTTGGATATCCCTCCTCTTCTCATACAGGTTCGTTTTCCTCCTTTTATCTTCGTATTTCAGTTATTTCCCTTTTTCTTTCTTAGAAACTTATGATTTTAATATCAAAATCATGCATAACTTATAACATTTCCACACATATTATTTGATACCTTGCAAATCAACCATTTATTCTTTTCGGATGGTTATAATTGTATAAATATAGCTCGAATATTTTAGATGTCATAGGTTAGTTGGATCAGCTAGTAATACAAAAAAAAAAGGGTCCAGATGTGTATGATCCGCAGGAAAAAAAAAACTAACAGTTTATTTTGGCTATTTTCACTGACACCTAAATTGATTCGGCTACTTTATTCTTTTCAAATAAGAAATGAATACTTTTCTAGGTTCTGCATAATGCATTTGATGTCTGAATGATATAAAGTCTTTTCCTACCGCATTTCTCCTTAAAATATGTGAACTTTAAAACAGAGATTTGATAAATGTCATCAGAGTAATAGTAATAAATTAAAAAGGAGTTTAATGGATAAAAAGAGGGTAGATAGAAAATAAACCTGTCGTTTGATATATAGTTCCATGTTACTCTTTTTTTTTGTTTCTTGGTTATAAGAAGAACAAAACCTCTTTTACTTGCCTAGTTTGTTTAACTCATGCTGTAACTTTTTTTTTGGTCGAAAAAAGTTACTTTTTGCATCGGCTACGTTTGCATATTACCGCTTAAATGAAAATCATTCAATATAGTTTTCGAAAAAGTTAAACATAGAAATCTTTACCAAGTTGTTGATTAAGGGTATAGGTAACGCATCTTCGTTGCGGAGGTATGATCCTATGCACCGCAATCAATCATTGCCTTTGTGACGGCATTGGCACATCTCAGTTCCTACATGCATGGGCTCATGCCAACACCACCAGTGCTCCTCTTCCGATCCAACCGTTCCACTCTCGACACATGTTAGCACCACGAGATCCACCGCATGTCACACACACTCACATCCCGGTTTCACCCGAACAACCGTAGACAAAAACTCCACCACCTTCAGCATTTGCAAGTATTTACAGTCTCAACCACTTGTTCCTACCACTCTAACCTTCACACCATCCATTATCCTACGCTTAAAGAAAACATGCGCTGATCCCTCTCTAGAATGTACCACGTTCGAGGCACTAGCAGCTCACACGTGGTGCTCTTGGGCTCGATCTCTTGGCTTTCCGTTGACCATGCAGGTCAAACTTTTGTTCTCTGTCAATATGAGGAAAAAACTGACTCCACAACTTCCCCAAGGGTATTATGGTAATGGATTCGTGCTAGCTTGCGCCGAGAGCAAAGTGCAAGACCTAGTTAATGGTAATATTTACCACCCGGTAAAATTAATACAAGACGCGAAAGCGAGAATCACTGACGAATATGTAAGATCAACAATTGATTTACTTGAGGATAAAACGGTAAAAACAGATGTCTCAAGCAGTTTGGTTATTTCACAATGGGCGAGATTGGGACTAGAGGAGTTGAATTTTGGAGAAGGAAAACCAATGTATATGGGTTCTTTGGTGAGTAACATCTACTGTTTATTTTTACCAGTGGCGGGAAACTGTGATGCCATTAGGGTTCAGGTGTCGTTGCCGAAGGATATTTTGAGGAGGCTGGAGTATTACATGGTGAATTTTCTTGACGAAAAATGTAAGATAGAAGCTAAAACTATGGCATAACAAAGTTAATTATTATTTTTTGTTTGAATAAATTTTATTTTCTTAACAGTTTCAATGATCTATCACCTATAAAGTAGTCGTGGGACTAAAAGATAATTCAGTGGATTCTATGTAGAAGAAAAAGTCGTGGACGTGTCGATTTTCGAGTGATTTAAGTTTTCTACTGTTCAGTGGAGTAGTTGCTCTATATACATCTTTGTAGAAGATGAAACCATATTTGTAAAAGAGTTTAAAATACAAAAGAGGTTTAAAAAAACCATGTTAGTAATATTTCTGTGGGCTAAAAGCTTAATAGATGGAAAATCTGTAACGGAGAGTGAATGTTCAAAGATGTTTAATCTTTTTCTAATTCAAAATACTGAAAGTTAAAAAAAAAAAAAAACAAGTACCCAAGAATGTGAAAATAGACTTCAGCAAGTGATGTGGGTGTCCTGATTCGTGATGACAAGGCTACATATTTTCTGCGCACCAAAACAACACGACAAGCATCCACCTTTTATGACAAAAACAATATGTCATCGTAGTATCCTCAACAGGTGTGTAATTTATATAAACTCTCAGTAGCTTCTGATTCTCTTCTCTCTGCCAGTTCTTGTTTATGCTGAGGCCACAAATAATATGCAAGTACATGTTCCGCTGTTACAGCTCAAACTGCAGATTCTGAAGCTTTGAACATTGAGTTTATCGACATTAAGGTTATCGTAAACGCTCGAACAGACACAACATTAACCGAACATGTCCAAATCTAAAAAAGACAGGTTACTATTCCAACTGCTGCAGTTGTGGCTTATGCTATCTTCTTCTCAAGAGCTTACTGATTATTAATTCTGACGTCGGTAGAACTTGAAATGAGAGTAGAATCGAGTCCTAAGGGCATGGGTATTGGTGGGATTGGGAAAAGTCCCTTAACTTTTTTTTTTTTTGGTCGGTTTTAACTAAGGGACATCCCTTATTGTCCCTTAGCTAAGGGATTTTCCTTCTCTTTTCCCCTCGGTTTCCATGTTTTTTTCGTAAGGAATGTCTTAAGAGACTACCAATACCCATGCCCTAAGACCGAAACTTAATAACTCGTATATGGTCAACAAATTTCAAATTTCTCATAGAAGTTCATGCTCACCCCCATCTTTATGTTAATTGATCTTCACTAGTGTCCGTTAAAGCTTTGTACCATCTTTATGTTAATATAAAAGAGTCTAGTATCCTTTTGAAAAAGTTTCGACCGTTTAAAATTGTTTGATTAACAGTAAATTAATTTTGACCGTTTAAAATTGTTTGATTATTAGTAAATCAACTAAAACCATTATCTATCTCCTATTATATTAAAGGAGAAATATTACAACATTTTTTTTGTAAACACGTGTCATTACCATAATTATTCTTAAAATTGTTCGAAAAATTTGTTAGTCCATTTAAAAATATAATAAACTTTTTATTAAACTAATCATAAATTAATTATTAATGTTATTCATTGTTTCCTTAAATAAAAATAACAGAATTTCCAAATATGGCTAAAGTATATATGACAATTAATGATTTTTCAACAATAAAGATTTGATAAAAATTAGTATTTTCTCTATTATTTTTTAAAAAATTTAACTAAAAAAAAATTAAACAACCACATTAACTATACAATAAAAATTTAGATTTTTTGCATATACAATATATTAAATTTTTAAGACGACTAAAAATGACTAAATTTATTAAAATCTCACACTGAAATATAACGGTAAGAAATGATTAAAAGTTTTGTTCTAAAACTATATAAATGATCAAAAAACAATATGAGTATAAACTATAATTTAACAGATATCAATATTAAAAATGTACTATATTTCTATGTTAATATCATTTAAACTTGATTGTATACCATATAAAACAGAAAAAAATGTTGAATTAATAAACGTTATTAATGTGTTTACACCAATTTAATTACATACGTAATTGTTACTGAATTTTTAAATACCAGTATATATTTCTTATTTTATAATATGTAAAATAACATATAACTAGGTTAATACCCGCACATTTGCGCATGATGAGAATTATATTTATAAATTATTTTATGTCTTATTTATTTTTGTGTTCTTTTATATATTATAAAATAAAATACATATATTAAATAATTTAAAAATATGTAACTGTTATATATACAATTAATTTAGCTAGCATTTTAATAAAATAATTTTATTTATTTATTTACAATCACTTTATATAAGTAATCTAATTAATAAATGATATTAACCTATATATATATATATTTTACTTTTAATTTGTATATCTAATAAATGAGGCTTCACACTTACATGGTTTTCTGAGCTTTTGTATATTTTTATAGTAAAAAGTTTAAAATATTGATAACATCATTTTTAATGTGAGAGATTTAATATTTATAGTAATTTATCATCGTTTAAAAAAATTAAATTCAAATTTTGTCATTAATGCATTAAGTTCTCATTTAAATATTTTCCAATTAAATATTTATGTATTTTAAATGGTATTTAGTTTAATTTAAACATCACTAAATATATATATATATATATACATCTAATTTAAATATCTATTAAATGATATTTCTTACTCATTAATTATATAATTTTTTGTATCGTGCTATAACAAAAAATTAAACTATTAATCAAAATATTATATGTGAAATTTTAAATTTTTTTATTGATTTATAGTCGTTTTTAAAAATTCAAAATATAACATATATAGAAAATCTAATCTTTTTTTTGTGATATAGTTAATGTTATTGTCTAATTTATTTTCACAGTATAAATTTAACAAAAAGAGTAGAGGCTATACAATTTGTTATCAAATCTTTCATATTCAAATCAATAATTGTTATCCTTTATATATTAAAAGAGGAGCATTATAATAAATGCGTTTACACCATAATTGACATGTATCGATCTCACAATCATTTGACAATTAATGCGTTTACACACTAATTTTTTAAATTCATGATTTAATGTGTTTATATACTATTTTTAATTAATTCATTTTTCTACATTTTTAGCCTTTGTATTAATAAATTAAAAATTTCTACGTGAAACTAATGAATAATATATTTATTGTAAAAAATTACAAAATCATTAAGATTCGCATCAATTAAAATGTTGCGATGAAAATGTTTGTAGAAATTGAAAATTTCGTACCTTGCTGAAGTTGGTCATGGTTGAGACTTCGGTACACAATAACAAAAAATACGGCGATTGATTATGAATTAAAGAAACTAAGGTGAAAAACACCACATGTAAAGTCGGATATTTAGTTTAGTCAAATATTAAGATTTTTATAAAGTTTTCATATCAGACCAAGAATTTGAAACAAAATCAAATTGGTAGAAGAAAATCAGAAATCAAAAAAGCTTTAAAAAGAAATAAAAAATCACAAAATCGATTAAAAACAGAATTCAGGTACCAAGTGAAGATGTCACTTTATAATATATACTATTTTGTTGTTTACGGGTACAATTTGATTTTCTTCATATTAAAAATGTTATTAATTTCTAGGTTTATTTATTTTTACTTAATTTTATTTAAAAATTTACTATCATGTGTTATTTTGAACAAAAATGTTTTAAATATTAATTAACGGTATATTCATATATTTATCATCACATTTATATACTTGTACACATTGACATGAACGACTATATAACTAAATATTCACCACAAGTGAGAATTTTAATTCTTATTGAAGTTGAATTTTTTTTTAATGTTTTTTTCACCATCGCTCAAATTGCAATGAAATTTTTTGTGTTAATAATTTTATTTTATTTTTTCTTCAAATATTATTTAGATTTTATTTGATTTTATATGTCTTTAGAAATTATTATAGGAAACTATTAGTTCGACATAAAAAATGTCTAAAATTTATATGAAACGAAACCAAACAAATAACAATAGTTTTTGGTTATCATCGAAAAAATTAAAAACATCAAACATCCAAACGAAAAAACCCAAAATAAATATAGATTTAGAATGGTAATTATATTTTAGGACATTAAAAACAACGTAAAACTGAACCAATATCCATGCTAAACAAACATAATATCATTTTTATCTTAGAAGTAACAAAAATAATAATCTCATTCCGTGCAAGGCGCGGATTATTACCTAGTATATATATGTTATAATCGTATTAGGTAATTCCGTAAACTTTATTTAAGGAAATAATGATTATCATTAATAATATTTTTATGCTTAGTTTAATAAAAAGTAGATTATATGTTTATAGGACCAACATTTTTTTTTGTAAATTTGAGAATCATTCTCATGATGACACGTGGCTACCAAAACATGTTGTAATGCTTCTCAATTAATATATCGGGGATACGTAAAAATAATTTATATATCATATTTATTTCACGCAAAACGCGGATCTTAACCTAGTGAGTAATTAAGTTTCGATGTAAAGTTTCACAAATTCTTCTTCTATTATGCACAGTTTATTTGGACTGTAAAAAGAGAGCTTTCGATCCGGTGAAGAAACCCAAGCGGAATCGAAGAACAGAAGACTCAGTCATTTAGGAGGAGAGAAACATTTTCTCCTTTAACATTTTGTCATATACGCTCACTGAATACATAGTCAAATTTCTACTATACACATAAGTGGCGACCTAAAAATTTATATTATTGGTATCAGAAAATAAAATAACTAAAAATATATTTATATATATAATATTTAGTATCATATTTTACCAATATTTTTCTTTTACGAAAACTATATAGTAAAAATAACATCAGTAGTGATAATTATCAGATTTTTAATAAAAACATATGGTAAATTTGAGTTTAAAAGCTCACATCAATTAACTTTTAGGTTACACCCAAAAAGTCAAAATTAAATGATTCAAACTGAAATCCATACATAATAAGGTCAAAACAAATTTGGACTTGCACCTGGTTCAAAAAAGTATTAAATTTGGTGCAGGTGGGGTTTGCACACAAATTTATAAGTGTTAGATGAAACTATCAAACCAATTGAGCTGCACTGGATTAAGTGTTAGTTACACTGGATTTATAAATAAAATTGACAATTTTACAAGGGTGTATACCCTGAACATAGGTCCGCCTCCAATACAAATGAAACATCTAACCTTTGTTGGAAACACACAAGGATATGAAACTAGAAGATCTATTATATACAAATGAATCTAGATATATTTATGTGTGCAACATTATTTAATAATCATAACATATAAGACATAGTCACATTGTCCAGAGAATTGTTGTTTACTAAGGCTAGATCAAAAATTTAATTACTCTTCTTTGTTCATAGAAGAATAATGTACATATCCTTATTACAAAAATTGAATAAGTGGTCGATTGCATTTGATCTCATCTTGACCTGTAAATTAAGTTTTAAATTCCATTATTATATATATAAATGAGACTTAAGTTTGAAAAGCATTACCATTATTAGCTGGGGCGCTTCTGTCTTTTCTACCACATCGATTATGATTATTTCCACTTACCCGTAACAAATATCCAAAGAGATCCAATATACAATGCTATTGGTTCGAATAAACCTTTTTTTTTTGAGCAACATGTTAATCTATTAAACCAGGCCTAAACAGCTTTAAGGCTGGGCCCAAATAGAGAGTTTAGAAGACAAGCAAGCTTTGGAAAGTGAATCAGCTGGCCCATTAGAGGCCCTAGGAACGAAAGAAATGCGACAAAAGGAAAACGATAGGATAGACGCTTCGAATAAACCTATCACAAGTAATGAAAACCCTCTCGCGAATCGGTATTTGAAGGTTGGTAAATGAATAAACTTTGAATCGAATACTCAATCAAAGGAAGGTGGAACGAAGGGTCACACAAAGGTTGCGCAAGGCCTTTGATTTACCCGCTCTTAAGCCCGAGGATATGACACACCAAGACGACTTAGGAGGATTTGTTGCTTTGAATTCACACACCTCACAACAGAAATATGATGTCTGTCGGACAAAGGATTCAACAAATTTAAAAGATGATTTTTATTAAAAAGGTTAAATCATTGAAACAAGAGATTACATAACTTTTTTATAGGATAACTAAACTTGCTGAAAAAACTAGAGATTTATAACTCTAGGAAATGATAAAACAATGCATGAAAGAGTGAGAAGGTTCTTCAAATAAGGAGTTCTTGCATGCAACAGAGATGAGAGCCTCTTGCAATAAATGCTCCAATTTTCGTCACTCTTCTTGGACAGCCAAGAAACCACTTCTTTTTTAATCTTCTTAAGTTTTGAACTCCATAAAATTGGACTAAGTTTGATGTATATAATCTCTTAGGTCTTTTTCCTGATGAAAACACCAAATTTAAACCATAATAATAAGGCCAAATCCTCCACACACATACCCATAAGCCAAGCCTCTAATTGATTTGTTTCTGTTGCTGGTCCGGATTGCATCAACATGTATGCAAAAAACAAACCAAAGAAGACTAGCTACTAAGTTAAGAAACAATCAAAATAACTAAAATGCACTAACCATGCATTTCCTCAGTTGAAGAAGGTTTAAGGCATGGAGTATCTGCATCATTGATCAAATTATGTAGTTCGAACTTAGAACACACTTCCACATAACCCCAAAGTGAATCAAAATTGTTTAGAGTTGCTTTTTTCTTCTCTTAATCGATCAGATTTTATGGTTGATCACTTGTTTCTGTTGTTTGGGTTTACTATCTTGCTCTTATTAAACGGATTTATGTGGTTGATCTCTTGTTTATGCTGTTTGAGTTGCTATTTTCCTCTTGTTTTAGTAGATTTTGTGCGGTTACTGGCTTTATCTTGTTTATAAAGGTATTTCTTAGGCCGTTTGTCTTATTAGGTAGTTGTCAACTCAACACAAGTTAAATGGGTGTTTACCAAAGACATTTCTCTCTCCATAGAGCAAAACTCATCTTGTTCTCTAAACCTCCAAATCTCTAGAGCTTCTTTCTACGGAAGCCGATTTCATTGCGTGAAGTGCTTTGATCATGAGATGACATAAGTGATGAAGATCTGGAATCACGTCGATATCAACTCCAACATTAATAATAACCTTGTTTACGTAGCTTTGAATACTGATGTAGAGTGTCTTCTCAAATGAAAAAAAAAATCATAAATTAGTCTTTACAAAAAAAATAAAACTTTTACAATTCTAGATCTTTCCATATAATTTCTTTCGATATTTAGCGTTAACTGTTGATAGTAAGGTGTAACCATCTCTTCCAAATTATCGTAATTTGTTTAGTAGATTAATCCTTAAATTTCATTTATCATGCATCTAGTATCCAGCTGTGAAATCAAAACACAATAATAAAATGCTCGATCAAAACTGTCATATCATTATTGGCATATCATTATTGTCATGTCATGTCATATCATTATTGGCATTTTTTTTCGACATAATCCTTGTTAACTAAGTGGTAGTAAACTAGTGGTAAAGAATAAGGAGAAAGGTGAAATTATTTCCTCTTCAGGTCGATATTCCATTAAGAACATTTTTTGTTTTTTCAAAAAAAAAAAGAACATTTTTGTTTGTACTTGACAAGTCAGAATGGTATCATGGTCAGTTAGAAAAAGAACATCATTGATTGCCTTGGTACGTAAAATTATTGGTTTTCGTTTCAGTTTAGGGAAATTAATGAAAATACATTTTAAGGGTATTTGTTGAAAAATATATAAAACTTTTTTTTTCTTTTATTATGGAAATATTTGTCTTATTTAATGTTTAAATATGAACTAAATCCTTAAATCTTATAGACCCAATACGATTTTTATTTCACATTTTTAAAACTTGAATATTCAAGAAATTTAAGTTATCATAATGCCTTAAAAGTGATTTTTCATATTTAAAATATTAGTTTGTAATATATATATAGTTTAAGTATAACAGAGTTGAAAGAGCTAACACAAGTAAGATGCAATTTTCGTCCAAAATCCGAAAGCCTTTCATTACAAGAGAACTGCATTGATATTTCTGATGAAACTTAATCCCTAAAAAATCTTAAGACAAATCTCCATTTCATCTAATGGATCTTAGACAGATCCAAACGTTGGATATATCCGTCACGAATTCATTTTAAAACGTTGGTAGCTCGGGGACTCACCGACTAAACCATCTCCTCTTTGCGGATGACACGATGTTTTTCGTGCGAGTTAGCAAGGAATGTAGCTTAACGCTGAATCGTATTCTTAAACGATACGAGGCAGCATCTGGACAATCAATCAACACAGAGAAATCGTCCATTACCTTCTCACGCAAGACACCGAGATCATTAAAACGTGTAGTCCATGACGCACTATCGATTCAAAAGGAGGGTGGAACCGGCAAATACCTCGGATTACCGGAACATTTTGGGAGATCCAAATGTGATCTCTTCTCATCTATTGTTGACCGCATCCGTCAAAAAGCAAGAGGCTGGTCAAATAGGTTTCTCTCTACAGCCGGAAAAATGACTATGCTCAAGAGCGTCCTCTCCGCAGTGCCTTCTCACGCTATGTCCTGCTTCCCCCTTCCAGTATCCCTGTGCCAAAGAATTCAATCAGCGCTGACTCGGTTCTGGTGGGACGACAAAATGGATAGTAAGAAAATGGCATGGATTGCCTGGAAAAAACTTGTCAGACCCAAGGAGCAGGGAGGACTCGACTTCAGAGATATTCAAAGCTTCAATGAAGCTTTTTAGCTAAACTCAGTTGGAGGATTTTCAACAAACCTGAATCACTGGTAGCTCGGATACTATTGGGCAAGTATTGTCCCAATGAAGATTTTCTAGCAGTCTCTGAAAAAAGCGCCATCTCCCACGGGTGGAGAGGAGTCCTAATAGGAAGAAACATAATGCTGAGCAATGCAGGCTGGGAAGTTGGTAATGGCGAGAGCATTAATATCTGGGACAAACCATGGCTCAGCACGAACACCCAAGAGAGACCTATGGGACCGGCACCGCTGGAATACCGCAATCTCACCGTTTCTGATCTATTCTTACCGGGATCCAGGGAATGGAATGTTGACATGATTCGATTAGTTCTCCCGTTTGAGGAAGAGAAAATCAGATCTATTAAGCCTAGTATTTCTGGGGCCCCAGACAAGCTCTCTTGGCTAGGATCCCCCTCCGGGATGTACACAACCAAGACGGGGTATGCTGCAGCCTTCCTAAAGAGATCAGAGCTGATGGAGATCTCGCAAGAAGACCTTTTATTTGACTGGAAAAAGGCGATTTGGAGACTCAAGACCTCCCCAAAGACGAAGCTTTTCGCGTGGAAAATGCTACATGGAGCAATCCCTGCGTCCGAAGCTCTTCGCGCCAGACAAATCAACGTCGATGGAAAGTGTAAGTGGTGCAACCTACCGGAATATATAGATCACTTGTTCTTTCACTGCGCCTTTGCGAAACAGATCTGGTCTTCGGCCCCTGTTTCACCTAGCGTTGAGTACAATGAATCTATAGATTTGAGAATGATTTGGTGTGACTTAATTTCCAAGAAAAACTTACCACCAACTGGAGTTTCAGAAGGACAGCTTGCACCTTGGATATTATGGAGTATTTGGACTGCAAGAAACAGTCTAGTTTTCACCGATCGACCCCTCTCAGCTTCGGATACGCTCTCAAAGCAGTTTCAATGGCCAGGGAATGGGGCGCCTGTCAAGCAAAACTCCCTGCAACAAAACACGTTCAGTCCCCAGCGCCTGAAACTCCATCAAACTGTGCTTTAATCAAGTCGGATGCTGCTTGGAATGAATCTTTTAATGTTGCAGGTTTAGGCTGGACAGTGAAGTCGCAAAACAGAGCATCATCCTTTTTCGATACCGGCTCACCATGTGAGGTCACCGCTAGCCGCTGAAGCACTAGCATTAATGAAGCGCTATGGAAGTGTAGAGATCTCGGACTGGTACGGCTGAGATGTGAATCGGACTGTGCAGAACTTGTTAAAGCCATCAATGCAAGAACTTCCCTTACTGGCATCTATGGGATATTGACTGATATTCAAGAAGTAGCTTCTTCTTTTGATTGTACCTCCTTTGTTTGGATTCCTAGATTGAAAAATGTAGAAGCGGATGTATTAGCAAAGCAGGCTCTGTCTGTTGAACTTGCCATTATGGCTGCACCTTCTGGTGGTTGAGTTTGCATTAATATAATTGTGTTTCAAAAAAAAAAAAAAATATAGCCGTTTTATAGCTTTTAATATGTGCGTTAAAACTTTTAAAATTGTGTGTATGGGATCTTACCTGTGGTGCACCCAAGATATTTGCAGCATTGTAAGATATGTGATGGCCGAAAAGGCTAATTTCTTCTTCTGGGCCAACGACATTTGAGAACATCATCATTGTGGTACCAAACATTCTCATTACAAGGGATTTGAGTGCCTTATTCCACACAGACGTTGAAATATATGTCAAATAAAATAGATGTACACAGCACATTAATATTTGGAACCATCAAAGTTGTTTTGTATTTTACCGGTACTCCGAAAGCCTCCACGGTTAATTTGATCAACCCATAGAAAAATAGAGGTTCCAGGGAATGTTTTTTGCGATCCATAGTAGTTTTAGCTTGTCGAAGGTATTCAAGTATATTTTCCTCTGACTTCAACCACAAAGGAATGAGAGCAAAACCTATTGAGTTTCCCCATCTGCACTTCGAACCTTTTGCCATCATATTAGCCAAATCCTGTATAAAAATATGTTAATATCTTATTATTTTTAGTTAGATTAGAGAAGCGATTATCACTATCTAGGATATGTTGTTCCGCACCTCTATATTTCTGTTTGGCCTTAGGTTGAAGAAAACAACCCCATGAAGACATATTTCGTCTAGAGATTTTCTTGACGTAGAAATTGCCTCAAGATCTGCTAAAAAAAATTAGGAATTTTCTTTCAACAAATCTGTTATTTTCAACCCAGGTAGATGATTTACCATATCTTTTTTTTTTGAATTGAATATTTCAAAAAAAAAAAAAAGACTAATCTATTTACCATATCTTTGATGCAAATATCATAAAGACCAGCTTGCACCATCCCGAAAAGAACATCATTTATTGTCTAGCAAATATGAGAAAAATAACACAAACTAAAGACTAATCTTTCAAAGAAAAAATAAAAGTAAACTAATTAAGCAGACGTACCATATTCATGGCGTTCTTCACCAATTTAACATCATTCGAACTAATAACTTGATGAATAAACTTATTCATTAATCCTGGTTTACCCATAAGACGAGTAGTAGTGTTCCTCCCACAGCATATGAAAACTATAGACTTTATAACTTCGACGGAAGTGTGGAACATTAATCTTACTATGAACCATAACCAAGAAAAAAACGACCAAGGGTTATGATGTTGAAGCAATCGAGACCTGGCATGGTCAACACTCGGGAAAACAGGCTGACCGGCACCTCTTCAGAAGTCAATTGCTTCTCCATGTTATTTTTTTCGGCTGTTTATATGAATGATTACAAAAAAGTGAGATGTTGTTTTATATGAATGTTTCCACAAAGTGAATTGTTGGTTTATATACATGCACCAAGTCTCTCATAGGTATCAATATTATTGTATTTAAAAGATAAAGTTTAAAATATTAAGTTTTATAAAAAGGTATATGCAACACATAAAGTCTGTCAAACCAACAAAATAGAAAAACCTGAAGATAAAAACAAATTTTGATATTTGTAACATATTTCTTTGATGTATTTAGAAAATACAATATATAGGGGATGAACATTGTGTTACTGTTAATACTATACATTGTTTTGCTACCATGTAAATATTATAAAATGGATATAATAATGAGTTAAATACTCATATCAAATTAAAATTTATAAATATAGTGATAATATTAATATAAAATTTAACATTCACATAATGTAAAATTTTATAAACACAGAAAAGAAAAATAATGAGAATATTGAGTTTTTATTAGTTTTCAAGAGTTTTCCATGTTTCATTGATTTCAAAATCTTGTTTTGCAGATTTCACATTTTACTGTATCCAATTTATCTCACATAGAAAACAATTTTTAGTCCCTTTAAATCTCCTCTACTATTATATGTTTCACTTTGGCATTTTATTTTTCTGTTCCATAAATACTTATTTGAACCATGAAATATATGATAGATTAAGATAGGTTATTTGAGTTATTGAAGATGTTGACTACACTAAAAAATTAGTCATGTTTATGACATGTTAGACATATTTTGAATTTGAGAATATATTTTGACGATGAAGATTCTAAAAAAAAAAAAAATCATCTGCACCGTCTCAATGAAGATTTTTTTCTGGAAGATTTCATTCAAAGAATTTTCGAATTAGGGTACGTAATCAGATAAAGAGTTTTTCGGATCGGGCTCAGGTAAGCATTCAGATATCTAATAGTCGATATCTGAATTTGTACCCAAACTCAATCCAAAAAATCTAAACCAAAATCGAAGTAATGAAATACCTGAACATGTATTAAGTTAGGAGATAATGGATATCTGAACCCGAATGGATAATATCCGAATCCAAATGGATATATGAAGGCAACCGAACCTATATATCCAATTTTATTCAAAATATTTATATTGCTATTATACATGGCTCAAGATCATATAATATACATATAACTGAGGACAAAGTGATTTGCTAGGCCCTTAAAATGCATTCAACATTTTTGTTTCATACATTAATAAAAGATGCATCCAAATTCTCAAACCTACAACTATATTAGTGTTTTTCTATTTTAATTTTTTTTTATCTCCAAACCTATTAATTATTCAACATATTAAACTTAAAAATTAATTTAAGGTTATGGTAACATTTCAAGTAAAATAAAACTTAGGCAATGAAAATTTTGAATTCTCTTGTCAAAATTGAAATATCTGAACCCGACCCGATTTGCTATGTAAAAAATCATGAACAGATTCCAGACCACAATACCAAAATACCTGAAAACCTTATCCGAACCCAAATGGCCATGCCTAAACTTCTAGACATCATCTCTATGACGTAAAATTTGTAGTTTCAATTATATTTTTAATTTTTTTAGGTGAGTTATATGTTGACAAACTAAAAATTTAGTCAACAAACATGAGTCAAACTAAAGTTATCAATATCTTAATAATATTATTGAAACTCTAAAAATTTTTATTCACATTGCAAAAAATATTAAAATCCAGTAAAAACTGTAGATTGTTTATATATTTCAACTAAAATATTTTTTTTGTTTGATACTCCATCCATTTCAAAATAATCCATTTAAAGATACACTTTTACATTTTAATTTTTTATTATATAATAATGGTAAATTGTAAGTTTTGAATAAATGATTTATGTTTATTGAATTTTAATTGGTTGAAAACCGATGAAAGTAATTAATCACAAAACATGTATTTATTAAATTTAAGATGCTTCTTAATATGTGTAAAAATATAACATAGATATTTTAAAGTTGGAATGAGTAAAATCTTTTACCTGTTAAATTCTGATTACCTGACATCATTTATATTATACTTAATTTAATATTAAAATTAGATTCATATAATAAAATATTATTAATTATGTAAATTTCTCCAATAATCGTGATCTTCCTTACCCGTATTTCCATATTTATGAATTTTCTTCATATTTATGAACTTTTCTAGAATATACACGCAACTTATCTATTATATTAAAAGAGAAGTCATGACTCATTTCATGTGTGATTTTTTGGTTTGGACCATCTTTAAAGAAGTTATAAATTTTTACATAACATCATTAAAATATCTTTTCTTATCTTTAATTTTTATTTGAAATAACAAATAAATAGTTTTAAGAAAATTCTAACAAAATATTTTAGAATCTTTTCAAGATATAGTTTCAAAAAAATTTTGATTCAAATTTTAATTATCATAACATATAATTAAAATTTTAGTTGATTTTTATTAAAAAAAATTAAAATTATCTAAAATACTTTTAACAATAACCTAAAATTTTGTTTATGTAGTATGTAGATCCAATTTAATTTACTTCTTACATATATTTCAAATTTAGAATTAAATTAGTAATGTTATATAATAATGTTTTTAATTTTTTTACAAAAATACTAATTTAGAAATTTTATATTAATAATATTATAAGCCACATAAATATTATTATAAAATTGGATAGTATACATAATCAAATTATATATATTTATTGATAAATTTTACTCCCTTGGTTTCTTAATATAAGTTATTTTGGATCATTGCACAAAGATTAAAAAATTTACATTATTTTACAAAAGTATTTTTAAAGATATAATTTTAAAAGCATTCAACAAGTTTTTTTTTAAAAAGTAAAATTTTATTGGTTGAACAGTTTCCGATAAAGTTAAAAATAACCTTAAAACGTCCAAATATATCTTACAATTGTAAAACATCTTATATTTTGAAACAAACTAAATCTTTTAAAATATCATCTAATTTGAAACAGAAGGAATATTATATAATTTTAAATATTTTTGTATTAAAATTCCCGCACGGTTGATCTAGTGGAAATTAAAGTTCCTAAGGGACCCGGGTTCAAAATCTCATATTCAGATTATCCATATGTGTGGTTAGACTTGATTGCTATTAAATTCCGATTTTTTTACCTTCTAAGACACTTTTTGTCTTATGAATTTCATTTTTAGACAATTCATACTAGGCAAGCACTTTGTTTGTGTGTATTATCATTTATGCCCTCAAACTAACCAACTACTCACTTAACTAAACCACAGATATCTAACCCTAGTTACTTTAATTTGAACGCAGATCTACTTTCTCTTTTCCCAATTTCACAATCCTAATTTCAGTTTCCATGTCTCTCAAAGTTTTCCTAATTCCCCTTATGAGCAGTCGGATGTATCTGGTGCCCGTGAATAAATATACAGAGATTATTTGGATCTGGACCCACCAAATATATTGGGTCAACAAAAAAAAAACCTTATGAATTTAACTTTAAAAGTAGGGTTGACTGCCTAAAACCCCCTGTAAATAGTTAAACCCTACTCATTCCCACCCAAACTATTAAGCTCATGATATATCACTCTGGACATATAAAAACACTTCATATTAACACCCAATCTTTTCTCTGTGTAATGTGAGATTCTTACAAATTCGGATCGACTCTGCCGGGGACAACAAAATCCGTAATGTAGTCACAAATCCATTCCAGTTATTAGGCATGGGCATTCGGGGTTCCATTCGGGTTTCGGTTTTATCCAATCGGGTCTTGGTTCTTCGGGTTTATCAAAATCAGCCTCATTTGGATTATTTAAAAGTTCGGTTCGGGTTCTATCGGGTTCGGGTCGGGGTTAGTAAATCTTTAAAGAACCGGTACAACCCGTTATACATTCGGATTCGGGTCCCAATCGGTTCTTTGGTTTAAACTTGATTTGTACCTACTTTGTAACCAAAACATAAGTAAAATCGGTTCTTCAGATTTAAAATACCTAATGTGTAACTATTTTGTAACCAAAACATAAGTAAAGAAACATAAAACTTGATCATTCAAAATCAACTTAAAGGTAAACATATTTATTAATAGAAAGAAAACCAAATAAATGAAAGCGTAAACGAAAATCAAGTTCTTAAAAAATGAGAAACATTATTCAATAATAACAAAACATTAATCTAAAAATTTCAAGTTTCAACCGCCACCTTCAACCATCAACCTTCATGTAATAGATAATTATTTTAGATATATATTAGAAATTAAGATCATGTTCAGTACACGTTCTTATTAAAAAAAATTGAATGTTTCGGGTTCTATCGGATATCCATTTAATTTCGGGTTCGGTTCGGATAATACCCATAACCCGAAATACCATAAAACAAGATCCATTCAGTATTTAAATCGGGTTCAGATCGGTTCGGATTTATTTTTATCGGATCGGGTTTGATTTGGGTTTTCGGGTTTGGTTTATTTGCCCAGCCCTACGAGTTATATTTCAAAACCCTAGACCCATACAAACCCTGCAAAAAAAACCATATAGCAAAAACTGATGATCTGATTAGTTTTCAAGATAAATTCTAAACCTATTGATTAAAGGGTCTACTATCTATTTTCCCAAGAGAAGTATCGTATGGCGAATCATGCAGATTGACGAAAATGCTTACAAGGCGTACCGTCAGGAATGAATTTCATAGGGAGGCTCAGGGTGATGCAGTCAGACGTTAATCTGCATGAGGCAGTTAGAATTGTCGGCTATAATATCGTCTATGTAATATTTCTCATAGTTTGTATATTGCATAATTAATCAGTGTTAAAAAAAAATATTTCCCCACGAGAAGTATCGTATAGCACTACAAGAAAACACAAGTTTTGCTAGGACGGCTTTTCCTCGTAATTTCCTAGTAAAGGGGCCTTTACGAGTAAAGGAGTTTTGTCGTAACACGTTCATCGTAAAGCTTTTTTCCTCGTAATTTCCTCGTAAATTTACTTGGAA